GAAGCATTTATACTTCTTTTGGGCACTGGTCTCAAGCAACAGAAAGCCTGTGTTTATACCTGCTTTTTGAGAGCAGTGATCGGGACAATCGGGTGTAAGGTAGATAGTGGGGATGAGGAGGAAGCAGGGAGGCAGTGAGGAGACTGCTGGAGTGGTCCAGGTGGGGAGTCAAAGAAAGCCCACATGACACCAGTCTGGTGGAAAGGTCAGGGTGATTGCAAAAGATATTGGGAGGGGGCGTGGCTATAGAACTTTGAGGCTGATATATGTAGATGATGGGGCAAAGGAGGACCCAAGGACAAATGAAAGGTTTCCCAACTGGATGGTATATAGCCAAGGTGCTATTAGGCAAATAAGGAAGTCATTGAAAGCTGGTTTGGGGAAAGACAATGGCTTTGAATAGCTGGATAGGGGACCCATGGGCTGTTGGAAATGCAGGATGAAGGCTAAGAACAGAGATTTGAGAGTCATTCATAATCATCATTGTCATCATCAGATAGCTACCACTTACGGATCACCTATTATGTGCCATGTGCTATGTGAAATAACTTAAGCCTCACAATAAGCAACAGAGTCAGCAGGATCAGCCTTATTTAACAGATAAGAAAACTGAGAGACAGAAACATGTCCAAAGTCAACTAGCAGGGAAGAGGTAGATCTAGGACTGAGTATATCCCCTACGGCTTTCTCATCAATCCATTAAAGTAGAGTGAAGTTATGGTAGTGTGGACGAGGTTCTCAGGCAAGAGGTAAGAACAGCCGGCAGAACATCTTAGAGTTGCCACAAAGGCTCTGCCAGAGATAGTTTCCCTCTTAATTACTTGTTAATTATCAACTACCAGGAGCTTCTCTAATGACTTCCAACATAGAAACATAGAAATCATGGAAAATGTCCAGAAGTGCATAGAAAAATAATTAAAATGTGTCTGGAGAATAGAAGACGGCACATATATGACTTGTAACTAACATGCTTAGGGATTTGGTGGTCAAAATGTAGGATTAAGGAGCTCTATAGAGACAGGAGAGCTGAAGATAGAGTTTCAGGGTGATAAAAATATCAAGAGCTGCAGAAAAGAGGGAGGAGGAAGATTGAGGATGGGCCATTAGATTTAGTCACTAAAGATCATTTTAGAAGACTGGTGGGGGCAGGAGGCAGCCTGCAAGGAGCCAGGGCATACAGGGTTGGATCAGCAATTTGGCATCTGCTCACAGAGTGAGGCAGAGGGTGTAGACTGGTTCTCTAAGAGGTTTGGTGGAAATAAAAAGAGATTGAGCTAGTGCCCCAGAGCAGGGGAGCCAAGCAGAATTGTGTTTTAGCCTGGGGAGATCTGGGAGTCTGTAGGCTGGTGGAAAGGGGCAATGGAAGGGTAAGGGTGGGAAATACAAGTAAAAGAGAGCCTAGAGGATGAAGTAAATGCACAAAAGAGGTAAGAGAGGGTGAGATAATCAGTTCTAGGAGAGGAAAGTTGCAGGGCAGATTAGGAGGGTTTTGGAGAGTCACAAAGATAACTTTGGAATTAATTCTTTAATTTATTCAATAAATATTGATTGAAGTCCTACTATGGATTGGGTATTCTCCAAGCATTGGGGATAGAGCAGTGAACATGGCAGGCAAAGTTTCTGCCTTCATGAGGCTTATAATCTAGTGGAGGACTTGATGGAACAGATTCAAGAATTTAAAATCAGGTTTTCTTCTCTACTTTGATGAAGCATGGACAGTGGCTGGTAGAAGTCTCCTAGGGTCATCCCAGCCAGCCTCCTGCCTCCTTGATACCATGCAAGGAGGATGGGACCCCTTTACTGTTTTGGAAGCATTTCAGGCAATGGGATTTCATACTTTCCCTCTATTGTCAATAGCATCTCATAACCTGAAATGAATGCTCTTGGATGTGGGGTTTCCCTAATGAATAGACCAGGTAGAAAAGAGGTATAATTTCCACCTGGTGTCAGTTTCTCTTGGGGTGCTTGGGGAGGGGCATGAGGGAGACAGAAATTGAGAGAAGGGGGCAGGTAAGTGGTCAGTTCCCCTCACTCTATACTTCTCCTCAGAGGACTTTCCTGCCTAAGCCAAGGCCAATCTACATTCCAGGCCTCAGGAAACTTGCCAGAGTTCTGCAGGGAGAACAGCTGAGCTACAGTACTCTTTCCTTTCTGGCACGATTTCTGCAAAAGGAGGAACTGAATGCCTGGAAGGCAGGTGTGTCTCTGGAGCTCCTGGGTACATGAGGTCATGCTCAGATCAAGACCCAGTAAGCAACTGTCCAATTGGTATGGTGGCAGAATTCTAAGAGGGTCCCCAGACTCCTGCCCCTTTGTGTACACATCCTGCACAACACCCACCACCAGTGTGGGTGGGACTAGAGAATGGAGAGAGAGAACACTCCTATCATTAGGTTACCAATTTGCTGACGCTGAGTTCATCAAAAGGTTGGTCATCCTGGATGGCTTGACCTGATCAGTTGAACCCCTTAAAACAAGGCGAAGCATCAGAGAGACTCTCTCCTATTGGCCTTGACCGGGCAAACAACCCTGCTGTGAAGAGGGCCCTGTGGCTGAGAATAGCAGGCAGCCTCTAGTAACGGAGGCCTCAATCTTAAAATCTCAAGGAGCTGAATTCTTTCAACACAATGAGCTTGGAAGAGGACTCTGAGCTACATGAGATTGACACTTTGGCTTCAGCCTGGTGAGATCCCATGGACAGAACCCAGCTGAGCTGTGTCCAGACTACTGACATGCAGAACTGTGAGAAAATAAATGGGTGTTGTAAGCTGCTAAATTAGTGGTAACTTGCTACGTAGCAGTAGATAACTAATACACTTAGTATGGTTTTTTAAAGAGCATATTGAAGGCCCCTACAATATGAAGATCATGAGGACTGGGAGAGCTTTCTGCCTTCTGTTTAAGCTCTTGTACCTTATAAAATGCAAATACTTCTGGGAGGAGTCATATAGGAAGCCTTTGGGCCATCCAAACCTTAATATGAAGTTTTCCAACTGTCTTCAGAGAAGAGGGTTGGATGTGGGAGAGAGACAGGAAAGGGCACTGCCGCTAGGTTTGAGGATAGGTAAGGGCACTGGGTGGTGGGAGTAGGAGAGAATCTTGAAGATAGGACTGTGGGCATTCATTTTAGCTGGGACTGTTCCAGAGGATTGGGATTATATCTGTGAGGTCTCCTAGGGCAGGAAGGTGCCTCCACTGGTCCAGCTGTGGGGTACCCACAGGGTGGGAACAGAGAGGACTGCTGGGATTATGGGGAAGCAATCACGCCAGCTGCAGTCCCTGGCCGGTTGAGTGGAGCAGGAAGTGAGTAGAATGATTCTTCCTATTGAGGAATGAAATTTGGCCTACCTGTACCCCTCCCACCCCTGGTCCTGGGGGAACGTGGGAGGGATAATGCTGTTCTTGCCGTAAGTTGTTTATCTCAGCCCACTTATCCTGATTCTTAATTCAGGAGTGACACTTCATGTATGTGGAGTGCATGGTTGTGACTAGGACATAATTTCAGGGCCTCGGGACACTTTCTCACTTTCTAAACTTCCCTAAGGACTGATTGGAGCCCACAGTGCTACCATTTGTCCATCCCCTTAACATAGTCCTTGTCCCTTATTTAAATGCAAAAATCTCCAGGAAGGGGCATGGCTAAATGTTATTGGTCATTCACATCTCAGTGGGAATATCTTTCAAGTCCTTTTCTGAGAAGTTCTGATAAGAGAGAAGTAAGAGCATAACCTAAGGGGTAGAAAAGACCTTAGACTGGGGTCAGAGCTGAGAGGATGTAAGTAAAGTAGGACAGATTGGCCCCTTGTCAGACATTTTCCTGGGTTCAGATCTACCCAGACGAGGCTGTGTGCCCCCACCAGCAGCCCCACCAAGCTGGGCCCTGGTGGTACAGCTCCCATCCATGAGCACAGAGGTGACGGGAATTGTAAAACAGGGCAGCCTGGAGGGCCTTCCACTCTTGAAACAGCCATCCATCCTCCATCCTCCACCCATCCATCAACCTTATAATTAAAGTAACATTTATTCAGCACCTACTATGTGCCAGCCCTTGGGCTGGGTACTGGGAACACAGAGATGATCAAACCCCAATCTCAACCCTTACGATGCCCGAGGGACTGCCCCAAAGCAGCGACAGGAATGCTGAGAGGGAGAGCCGAGAACAAGAGTAGCAGCAAATTTTTAAAGCATTTCTGTTTAATTTTTAAAAATTATTTTTAAATGTGCACTAAAGTAGAAAGAATAAACTGCCTTACAACCATCACCCAGCTTCAACAATTTTTATTAATATTGTTTCATCTAACCCTTCCACTTTTTTAATGGAGTATTTTAATACAAATTCAAGATATTATGCATTTCACCCATGAATACTTCCATATGCATCTCTGATAGGAATATTTTATTTTGTTAATCCTCACCCAAGGATATTTTTCCATTTATTTTTTCTTTCTTTAGAGAGAGAGAGTGGAAGGGAAGGAGAGAGGGAGAGAGCGAGTGGGAAAGCGAGAGAGAGAGAGAGAGAGAGAGAGAGAGAGAGAGAGAGAGAGAGAGAGAGAGAGAGAGATCGACATGAGAGAGACACATCAATTGGTTGCCTCCCGCATGCAGTGGGGGATCTAACCTGCTACCCTAGCAGGTGGAGGCTCTGATCACTGAGTAACACTGGCCAGGGCTGATAGGAACATTTTAAAATCACCCCCAAACCAGCAATATCTTACTACAATCAGCAATGCCTCTACCCCCTGCCTGAGACCTTACCAAGCCCTGGAACTCATTCCTACATCCTATACTTCTGAGGGTTTTGCCAAGGACCTGGTATCTCCTGCCGACACGCTAGTTTTCAGACCTGAGCCCCTCAGTGTCCCCCCAGTTGTGCAGTCTGGGTCCCTGCAAAGTTTAGCCAGGCGACTCCCTGCATTGATGGACAGCCATCAGCCCCATCTTTTGGAAGGGCTGTAACACCCCTTCCCTAACCGTGCTCTTCCTCCTCTCTGTCCTCGCAGATTGAAATGCTAGAACACAAATACGGGGGCCACCTGGTATCCCGGCGCGCCGCTTGCACCATCCAAACCGCCTTCCGCCAGTACCAGCTCAGCAAGAACTTTGAGAAGATCCGCAACTCGCTCCTGGAGAGCCGCCTGCCGCGTCGGATCTCCCTGCGCAAGGTGCGCGCCCCCACCGCGGAGAGCTTGGCGGCCGAGAAGGCGCTCATGGAGGGCTACGGCCTCCTGGGGCTGCCGCTGGTGCGCTCGCCCTCCCTGCCGCCCACCTTCGCGGGCACGCTCACCGAGCTGGAGGACTCCTTCACCGAGCAGGTGCAGTCCCTGGCCAAGTCCATCGACGACGCCCTCAGCACCTGGAGCCTCAAAACCATGTGCTCCCTGCAGGAGAGCGGCGCCTACCAGATCCACCAAGCCCTGCACGCGGGCGCGGGGCAGCCCAGCCGGGAGGTGGACACCCGGGAGCAGGAGAGCGCCGGCCCAGGGCCCGAGGAAGAGGCCGCCGAGGCCGCGGGCCTGCCCCAGGGCCACAGCAGCACCCTGATGATGGCTTTCCGGGACGTCACGGTGCAGATCGCCAACCAGAACATCTCCGTCTCCTCCTCCACCTCGCTGTCAGTAGCCAACTGCCTGGGCGCACAGACTTCTCCGGCCCCAGCGGAGTCCCTGCGCGGCCAAGCCGAGCTGGGCGAGGCCCGGGGTCAGGAGGCTCCCGTGACCCCAGCCGCGGGCCAGGGAGACGCGCCCGCCGAGACCACGTGCGCAGAGGCGGGAGTTGGGGAGACGCTGCGCGCCAACTCGCCTGAGGCAGAGGATGGGGCGGCGGATGCGATGGTGGAGGAGGCCCCAGCCGCGCAGGTAGAGGAGAGAGAGGAGGAGACCGGGAAGGTGGGGAAAGGGGCCGGGGCCGAGGCCGAGACGGAGGCCGGCGACAACTCGGAGCAACTGAGCAGCAGCAGCACGTCCGCCAAGTCGGGCTCGGAAGTCTCGGCTGCGTCGGCCTCCAAGGAGGCCCTGCAGGCCATGATCCTGAGCCTGCCGCGCTACCACTGCGAGAACCCTGCCAGCTGCAAGTCACCCACGCTCTCCACTGACACCCTGCGCAAACGCCTCTACCGCATCGGCCTCAACCTCTTCAACATGTGAGTGAGCTCCGGCTCTGGAGCTGCAGTGCGTCCTGGGGGTGGGGAGGGGGTGGGGGAAGTAGGGGCCCTGGAGGGAGGGAAGACGGATTAGCGGGGTGCCCTGTAATTTAGCACGTCATCCTGTGTCCTCCCAGATGGCATCTGTGCCATGCCTGCTCCTTGAGATACTGTGTACATATACACATTTTACTTTTACTTGTTATTCATTTATTTTAAGAAAAATTAGGAACAAAATAGCATCTCAAACCCATGCTTTCACCACTGTCACTGCTTAAAATGAAGCTAGAGTTCGAAAAGTCAGAGACTTTAAAAGAAAATACAATATTAAGTAAATAATAGTACGGGTAACATGAGGATTGAGCAGAAATCCCTCAGGTAAGATAAGAAGTTAGGGACACACAGCAATCCCCTGGGGTTGATGAAGAGAGAAACAGACTGTGAGCAAAGGAGAAAGTGAGGAAAGGTGAGTGAGGGACTGGGTGAGGGAAAGAGAGGAGGCCTGCTTTAAGGAGTACAGGGAGAAAGCGGAAGAGGGTGTGGGACAAAAGGGGTGGAGGGAGACAGAAATAGAATGCGAAGCAAGCAGGGGTGTAGTACACAGAGAAGGGGAATGGAAGGAGGGAGAGAATTGACTGGTAGAGCCCACAGCCAGAACCCCCAACCTTATCTTGCAACCAGAATGTATAGAGCTGGTGGCAAGCAGAGGGCACACACATGGAAATTTCAAGTATTTGAGGCACTGATCTCCACCCTCCACTTGGCCCTTTCGCCACAGACCTGAGCCAGGAAATACAACATCCCTCCTGCCCACATGCATTATTTATTGAATGCCAGGCACCATGACCACAAAAATGAGTAAGACATCCCCTGGTCTCCAGAAGCCTATATCCTGGGGAGCACAGTTACTGTTCATAAAGCATCTGCAATCTTCCCAACAGTATTAGAGAGATCATTGTTATGCCATTTTACAGAAAGGAAACCGGCTCATAGAGTAAGGTGAGTTGCACACTGACACAGCTAGTAAGCAGCAGGCTTAGGTAAAGCCAGATCTGTCTGACTCCCAATCCACTGCTTTTTCTTTTTTTTATTTTTTTAAATATATTTTATTGATTTTTCACAGAGAGGAAGGGATAGAGAGTTAGAAACATCGATGAGAGAGAAGCATCGATCAGCTGCCTCCTGCACACTCCTCACTGGGGATGTGCCCACAACTAAGGTACATGCCCTTGACCGGAATCGAACCTGGGACCCCTGAGTCCGCAGGCTGATGCTCCATCCACTGAGCCAAACAGGTTAGGGCTAATCCATTGCTTTTTCTTTTACCTCAGGCTGCTGTCCTGGTGAGCAGCCCCTACCGGACACACCCCAGCATCACTTCGGCATGCACACAAATGCTCACACAGATACTTGGATCCCTCGAGACAGTGGTTCTCAAACTATCTGTGGTGAAGGACCAGTTTGGGTTTTTACCCAACACATTGTGGGTCAATACTTTTATAAACTACAATAAAAATGAACTGCTAGAAAAACAATCACATGCTTGGTTGTCCTGAAAATGTCAAAGTGCTATAAAAGGTTCTAAATGCTTACCCTCTATTTCTGTACTTATATTCTCCTGGGCCAGTAAAAAACAGTTCAGGGAGCAGCATGGATTTGCAGACCAAACTGTGAGCACAATTGCCTTAAGACACAGCACCCACACCCACACCCACACCCACACCCGCACCCGCACCCGCACCCACACATAGACTCACGCCTGAGAAAGTAAATGCTGGGGAGCAGGATTTTTGTGTATCCACCATCCACAGGGAAGAGGGGGTGTGGGAGAGATCTCACTGCTGTTTCCCAATCTCATCCTCTCCAGATTCCAGGGTGGGTACTGCATGTAGACAGCAGGATGCAGGCAGAAAGGACTTTGGGGACCTCTTGGCAGGCCTTGGGGACCTCAGGATGAGATCCATGGAAGTGAGGCCAAAAGAAAGAGGACACCTCTTCACCTGCTCTGGAATTCACTTTGCTTGGCCAGACTTCCCCTCCCCCCCTTCCTGCCCCACGCGACCTTCACTCCTGTGTGGGTTCAGGAGAGTGAGGCTCAAGTGAAAGGTGATTCTGATGGAGAAGCCCTCTGTGGAGGAAGGGATCCTGGCATTTCCTGAGAATTCTTTCCAAGGGCCTCCAAGCACTATTTTGGGTTCAATTGGCTGGAAGAACAGAAAAAGAAGTCATGGATGGCCTTGGCTCACTCTCTATTCCTTCTCCCCACCCCCATCCGCACCCCCAGAAACCCGGACAAGGGCATCCAGTTCCTGATCTCACGTGGCTTCATCCCTGATACCCCCATCGGAGTGGCCCATTTCCTGCTCCAGCGTAAAGGCCTCAGCCGGCAAATGATTGGAGAGTTCCTGGGCAACAACAAGAAGCAGTTCAACCACGATGTGCTAGAGTGAGTGCCCCGCCCGCCTGGCACTCTCCCTCCACTCCACTCCATGCCCCCTCTCCCCGCAAGGATGTCCAGAGGAGCAGGGGAATCTCAGCTGGGGAAGGACTCAGGGAAGGGAAAGGGACCTCTGAAGTCTTGGTCACTTCCAAGAAATCCTCTCCCCAGTCCTAGCAGCTTCCTGATTGGCCCCAGGAACCAGAATATCAATGACCTTTAGCCAGTCTCCGCATTTTGACCAGCCTGTTTCCCCTAGAAAGTCTTCTATTTATTGGGCACATCGTGCACAGAGTACCATTGGTACAGAAATAGTCAAGGGTAATAAAAAGACCACCCTCTCTGCCACCCTCAGGGGCAAAAGAATGAGCCTGGAAGAGAAGAGGGCTGTCAGTGTTGGGGCCATCTCGGCCTGGGGAACAGACCCTCAGCCCACCCTCTCCCTGCCACCTGTTCAGAACCCAGACCCCCCACAAGCATCTGTCTGCTCCCCAAACAGGGTCGTTTTCATATCAGTAGAGGCAAACATGAGACAGAAAAAAAGGGGGGGTTAGACTGAGGGTTTTTAGAGCAGGAAAACACTGACCACCCAAATCACAACAAAGAAAATTGCTTTAAAGTCTAATAGATGGGGGGTAAGGTGAGGGGCTGCTTTTGCCAGTGCTCAGCTTTGTCGGTGTGGACGGGCAAGAGTCTCTTCATACTCACTCCCCTTCTGGAGATGCAGGGCAGAGGTGGCATTACTTGGGGCTGAGGAGCAGGGCCTTGGAGCACCCTTCCCCTGGCAAAGAGAGGGTGAGGTCCTAGGAAGTCTGCTCCAGGCCCCCACCACTTCCTGATGCTCCTTCTCTCTTCCACTAGGCCACCTAGGCTCAAATGTTCTTGAAGGTCATTATTCTATAGCACCCCCACTTCCCTCCCCTCTTTCTCCTTGGGTACAGTCAGCAGGAGTTTTTCCCTGGGGTGCTAGGAGAACCTCTCCTTTTTGTCCTTGCTCTTGGAGCAGCAAGGGTCTGCTACAGAGGAGCAAAGGGCTTCTGATCGAGTCTTTGGAAGCGTGGAAGTCACCCAACCTGTCTGGCAAGGTTGTCAATGTCAGAGACCTGGCTTAGTTCAGGGGTGGTCTTGGTGCTGTGTCTTCTGATAAGTCACTGCCCTCTGGGCCTGCGTTTCCCTGCCTGTAAAGTAGGGATGTTGGATTATGAGGGGTAGACCAGTTGCCCTCTGGAATCCTTGTCACATTCCTAAATTCACTGATAGGATGGTTGTCTCTAACTGAGCACAGTCAGAGAGTGGGGGCTTGGATCCATCTGAGGGACCATGAAATCCCCAGATGGCCCTTAGTTGGCAGAACCCAACTCTGCCTGTGACTCTCAGTGGCCTTGGACAACTTGCTGTCCCTCGCAGATGGTTGAGATGCTCTGAATGCCTCCCAAGGAAAGTAAACCAATGCATGTGCAGCATTTCCCTGCACCCTCCTTTCCTCTCCCTCTGTCTCTGGCTCCTCTTCCCCTTTACCACACCCCTGCTGTGTAGGGTGCCCCGGGAAATAGGAAAATAGAAAGAGAAAGATCGAGTTTTCCAGGTGCCTTCCTTCCCCTGTTTTTCCTCCATCTGGTTCACCTCTCTGGCTTTCTCATTGGCTTTTGCCCCCCTTCCGTTTTGTAGGAGGGTGAGTGGAGGTGTTGCTCCCTATGGCTTTGTTCTTTCAGATGCTCCAACACCCTGGGTGACCCTGCTTTGTCTCCAAGCTTCACTCACAGTCCCTGACCTTCTGTGTCCCAGTCCTGGTATTGCCTGGTCCTGGGATTTTAACCTGTCAGGCTCACATTGGCCTAGAGTATTGGGAACACAGGGTTTTTCTCCAGTCCAGGTCATGCTGAGCAGCACAATGGAAACTAATTGCCATCTTCCCTGGGAGACGGAGTGTGTGGGCTGGAAACTCAGACCAGCCATGCAGCCTGTGCTGTCAGGGGACCTAGGCTAGGGACTGGGCTAGCAGCTAAGGCAGAGCGAGGCCTGGGATGAGGAGGGCAGTGCGAGTGGCGGGGAGGCGGAGAGGAGGCAGTAGAGGAGAGATGGCTGGACCTGAGAGAAAGAGCCCTCTTCTGAACCTGGCTCTGCTTCTAACAGGCTGTGTAGCTTTTGGAAGGCACTTTGCCTCTAGGCCTCAGTGTTCTCATCTGTAAAGTCAGAGGGTTGGGCTGTGTGACCTCAGAGGTCCCTCCAACTATCTATCATTGTTCCCATTGCATTCGTAGCACACTGGCATCGTGCAGAGTCATCTGCCCTGAACATGAAGGTCAGGCTCTGTCCTCCTGCCAGAGCATCCCTCGGGCTCCAGGGCAGCGTTGGCACCAAAGTTCATGGAAGAACCAGATGACCATTCATCATTCATTCAGTGAACATTGAGTGCCTACCATGTGCTGGAAATGGGGCTGAGCCTGCCGTCCAGTGTGTGCGTGTGTGTGTGTTGGGGGGGGGGGGGGAGGGGGGAGAATTGGGGAGGAATAGGAATGGCTCATGGCCTTAGGGAACTTACAGACCCAAGTGTCAATTGGGAGAGAAGAATGGAAAAGCCAGGCGTGGAAAGGGAGGCAGGGGGCGGAGCAAGCTCCCGCGGGCATTGTGGGTTTGGGGAAGACTGAGTACAGAGCTGAGCCCCAGTTCAATGCCTCGGTCCCCGGTGCTTTATTCTGCAGCCATGCCGGCTTGGGCTCTGAGGTCTCTGCACACTAGCCTCTGTACACAGAAAGGAGCCCTCTTCTCCCAAGTCCGCAGTGTACTGACCTGCAAAATGCCAGGAGAAAGAAGGTGGAGAAGCAGGAAGAGGCAGGCATTAGCAGGGGAGCCAGGCACTGGGAGTTTGGGCATTTCTCTGCCACTCACACCAACTGTCCTGGTATCTGTCGGATCCTCTGCCTCTTCCTTACTCCCACCAGGGAGAACACACAATAACCACGTCACCGGTGCCATTTTGCCCAGGACTGAAAGGCTTCATTGGGATTCCACACGACTCCCCTGCCCCCGCATGGTGGCATTCAGCAAGTTGCATTCATTCTGTACAAAGCTGTTTGCTGAATAAAAGGACATAAGTCACCCATCCTCTTGGAGACTGAGACAGCCCAAGCCACAGCATTCTCCAAGAAGCAGCCAGACAGGAAGGAGAGAGGTTGAAATCCTCTGGGAGGGGAAAGGATGGGACCCCCAGGCCCCCCCCCCATTCTTATGCCTGTGGGGGACAGGAAGAGGGGCTGAGCAGGCTGCCCTGTGTCTGAGCATCATAGATGCGGTAACATTTGCCTCCAGAATCAGGTCCCCAGGGCTCTTAGAAGCTGACCTCTCCATCTCTTTGTGTCCTACTTCCATAGAAGACACATTCCAAGAAGGAATGTATTCAACTGGGCTTCATTCGAGTAATAATAGAAGGCCTTCTGAGCTCAAAAGGTCCTGGCCATTCGTGTTTACCTGGAAAGGGCAATTTTGTGTTCTCTTAAGGAGAAACCAGCCACACTTTCCTCATTTGTCCAAAGGAGATTATAGTACCTACCTCGTATGAATTAAATATTTTAGATGCATATAAAGTGTTTAACTCAGCACCTGATGCTTAGTAAATTCTTTTTTAAATGTTACCTATTTCTATTATCTTTCCTACTTGAAAGCACAAGGCATTAGATACGCCCCACCATGAACCTACCTACCCCCACACACCCCACCCCCAACACAGGGACACCGCAGACTCCTCAGGTCTGGTTTGAACAGCAAGAACTTTCGGGCTTCTGGGGAAGGAAGGGACCATGCTGTGCTCTGAGGAAGTCCTCTGGGTACTGAGGACACAAGGGCAGTGACCGCCCAACAGCGGGAGCGGCAGTGGGAGCGAGAGAGCCCCAGGGATTGGGCTCCTTTGGGACTGATAGCTTCTCCCGCTCGGTGTTCACATGGCTGGGAAACGGCTCTGCTCTATTTCCTTTCTGAAATGTTCGCTTCAGCAGGTGTGAAGGCCGGTGAGCGGGGACAGGGGGTGCTGGCTGTGAGTGGTCTCTTCTCCAGCCCGGCCCACGTGATCTTTGCAATGTGAACCTCGTGCACATGGAGGGCATCGGTATCTGTCATTCCCACGGAAGTGCCCGAAAAGGGCAGCTTTCGGTTTGAACTGCTAGAAGGAAGTTTCCTGAGTGTTCCTTCTCTCACTGTGTCTACTTCATTCTTTGTTAGATATTAAGAGTTTGACATTTTAGTCGGATTTCATTATTTAATTCCCACAGAAATGTGTTGGCCAGAGTGTAACAGATTTGTTCCTAGGGGACATTCAGAAATGAAGACAGGCTGTCTGTCACACTCAGCAGTCTGGAAGGCTCTGGCCTTTCGTCACCAGGAAGGAAGGATTTGAGGACTTCCTGCCCTTAGTGCCCTGTGCAACCTCAGAACCGCAGCCTGGTCCCGAGGAATTCCACGAGGAGAGCCCTCAGGGCCCAGGCAGACCCTTATGTGTCTGGAGAAGCGTGGAGAGAGGCCTGGGGCAGAAAGGGACAGAGACTTTGAGGTGATCGCCACTGCTCTGAAAACTTGAGGCTGTCACCACCACAGGAATGGAAGGAGGGGGTCTCTTCTGAAAGTGATGTCTTGGGGTTTTTATGGCCTTGACCTCTTATTTCTCCACTGCCTTTCCCCCATTCCCAACCACACTCCCTCCTCCCCCACCCCCGCACACACATAGATGAGAGATTCCCCCTAACAGTAAAGAGTCATGGGCATTGAAGAACCACTTACTCTGTGGAGATCTTGGGATCCTAAGCGTGGGGTGAACGAGTCCAGAGTTGAGACTCCTTTGGCTTGGCCACGTTATCATATAAACTGGGCTTTTACACAAAAATGAATATACCTACCACCCAGTTCCTTTCTGATTAGTCAGGCTCTAGCCCTGGAGGGGTCTCTCTTAATCCGGGTGTGATGTTCAGGTGTGGTGTAGACTGGCCACTCTGATGCGGGACTTTAGAAGAGGCTTCCTG